TAAATTTATTTTAAATTTTAAATATTTGTTATTATTTATATTATTAAAAATATTAATCTGTTAATAATATTTTTTATATATTTTTATTAATTAATTTTAATTAAAATTAATAAATTATTAAAATAAATTAAAATAATGTAATATTATAATTTTTTTTATTTATATATTTATTAATTATTTTATTAATTTTTTATTATAATATTTTAATATTTTTATTATAAATAATAAATAAAATATAAAATATAAAATATAATAATAAAAATAATATTAAATTAATAGTTAAAAAGATTTTATTTAAATATAATTAAAAGTTATATAAAAATTATATAAATATTATATTTATTTTTATATAAATTTATTAAATTATATATATAATTTTTATATTAATTATATATATATATCTATATATTTATTTTATAATATTTAACTTAAATATAATTATATAATTTTTATTTAAATAATTTATATAATTAAATAAAAATAATATAATAAAATTTAATTAAATTAATTAAATTAATTTAAATAAAATTATAAAATTAATTTAAATAAAATTATAAAATAAAATAAAAAATAAAAATATTAATGAAAAATATTATAAAAATTATAATATATATTTAAATAAAATAAATATAAAATATAAAAAATATTAATAAAATTATATAATCCGTCGGAGACATTTTTTATCCGTCGGAGACATTTTTTACGTTTAAACTTTTGGAAATTATTATGAAAAATTAATAAATAATTGATAAATAATTGATAAATAATTGATAAATAATTAATAAATAATTGATAAATAATTAATAAATAATTGATAAATAATTGATAAAAAATTCTTTAATAAATAATAAAAAATTGATAAATTAATAAAGAAAATAATTAGCTAAAATTTATTAAAATATTTAAATGTTTCCGACGGATTTTACTGTGTGAGCTTGCAAACACGTGAAAACGCTTGCGCGAGCTTGCGAGTACATGCGTTTTCCTAAATTTTAAAATATATATTTATAATTTATTTTATTTAAATTATAGTTATTATTTAAATAAAACTTTTTATATTATTAATTTAATATTATTTATAATAAATATTATATAAATAATTTATTAATTTTATTTATTATTATTTTATAATATTTTTATAAATTTATTTATAAATATATTATAATTATTTTTAAATATTTAATATATTTATTAATTATTATTTTATTTTTATAATTATTTTATATAATAAATTTATTATTATTATTTTATTTTATTTTTAAAAAACTTTTATTAATTATATAAATTTTATTAATTTTATTTTAATTGGCCAATTTTATTTTAAATTTTTGAATTAATTTAATTTAATTTAATTTTATTTATTTTATTTTAATTAATTAATTTAATTAAATTTTATTATAATTATAATAAAAAAATAAATAATAAATAATTAGTAAATATTATAAATATTATAAATATTATAAATATTATAAATATTATAAATAAAATAAATAAAATAAATAAAATAAATAAAATAAATAAAATAAATAAAATAAATAAAATAAATAAAATAAATAAAAT